TTCTTAATTCTTTTTAAGTTAGAATACATTTTCAACTGCTTTGATTTTTATCTCATTTAGATTCAATAACTTCAATAAAGATCAAGGATCCCATCACTTTAGTTGCCCCATGCGAGAAAAAATTTCTTAGTCATATTAAAATTATTTTACTATATTATAGATTTTAGCTTTGATGCATTGCTGAGAAGGTATTTTTTTATGACTATCATTTATTTTCTCTGCTCTAACTTGACCTATATTTTTCAACGATACGTCAAATGACTACAATTCGTATCTAGTTGAAGATATTATCCTCAAAAGTTGAAAAAAATTCTAATTTATCAATGAAACAGTTACTTATTCCATGTACTCCATACAGACAATTAAAATCATTCTTATCTAATGTTTTCAAAATATTTATTCACGAATCAAGGTTGATATGACAATTTGATATCATAGGTTTCAAATACAAAATTAAATCATTTTACTTTGTAATTTAATTACTTTTTTACTCTATTTGTGTGTACAACTACTATAATATTTAAAATTTTTTGGTAACTTGTTGCTATATAAATAATTTCTAAAAAAAATGACTGTTAGTTTCTCCTGAATTAATAATGGATTTTTACAACTATAATCAAATTTTATTATACGCTCAATTAAGTAAATTTTTTTAACAACTTTGTTTTGATTGGTTCATTTAGTTAAAGCTATTAAAATGAATTAATTTCTGAATATTTCAATTGCAGGATCTCTTCAAACACCAAAAGTTACTAGAAAATTATTACTATTACTTCTATTTAAGTTATCTATTACGATAAAAATGCAAACAAATATTGAACTTTTCTGATAAATTTACAATAAATAGTAATTATAAAACTCTCTGACTGCATATTAATCTTAACGATACAATTTTTTTAATTCTCATAAAATTTTCTATTTAATGATGTCGAATTCAAACTTGCCAATTGAGCTAAAAGTTATGATAAAATAAATTATTTTTTTTTATTATAAACATTCACAAAAATCAACTTTAAGCGATTAAAAAAATAGGTTAAATATGTCATTTTCCTTATTTTTAACACATTAATAATCAAAATCAGTATTAATTTAAAACAATTTTTTTTGTTCTTAATTATTTTTTTTTTATATGTAAGAACTATTTTTTAATAATAATAAAACTTAGAAGTGATAGAAAAAATCTAATTGCACATTTGAAAACAACGCGAAAAGTTGATTTAGAAATGTATATTTTTGCTTCTGATGAAAATTCCTTGTAGTCCAGTGCAATTATTTATAGTAACAAACAGTTTTTATTGAAAATTATTGTATCAATAAATTTTTATACACCTAAAAGTAAAGCAAAATAAAACTTCTTTATTGTTTTTATAATTTAAAGAGTGAATGAGTGGAGTGACTAGAGAAGATAGGATTAGGAACGAGCATATAAGAGGAAGTATAGGTGTTGCGTCAATCGTGGATAAGATGACAGAAAATAGACTTAGATTGTTTAGTCATGTTATGAGGAGAGAAGAATCGGAAGCTGTNTTATGAGGAGAGAAGATTTGGAAGCTGTAAGAACAGTTATAGAAATTAATTTTGAAGGAAGAAGAGGTAGAAGAAAACCAAAAAGTAGATTGAGGGATGTTATTGAATGCGACATGAGGACAGCTGATGTGAGCGTAGATGATGTAGGAGATCGTGTCAAGTGGAAGTTTAGGATAAGGGTGGCCGACCTCAAGTAGTTGAGATTAAGGCGAGGAAGAAGAAGAAGAGACTTTCCTAAGATTTGAGATAATATATAGCTTTTAACGAACACTATATATAATCAATTTAAAAGATTACCTATGGGCCTTAATAAAGTGCCATTAATTAATCAATCAGCCATGTGCAAAATTATGAGGTGCCTTAATTATAAAAATAAAATCTGTTACCTCAATGACTGCCAAAACATTTGATAATTATTAAAGTTCACTCAAACTTACATTAGAAGGATTCTCATACAATAACCTCAAATTAAAACCATCTAAAAGAAAATTTGGATACTGAGAAATTAAAGTTTTAAGAAACGTAATAAACTCATAAGGTATAAAATCAACCAAACAAGGCCTAGAGTCAATAAAAAAATTTCCATCACATTTTAACATCAAGCAACTCCGTAGCTTTCTTGGTCTAGCAAAATATTTTTGAAAATTCTTTACAAACTTTATTAAACTTGCAAAGCCTTAGACGGATCTAATAAAAGGGATATTTAAAAGTAAACTCGATAAAATTAACTTAACGTACGATCAGGAAAAGTTTTACAAGAACTAAAAAATTAATTAACTAGTAGGCCTCTTGCGCATTATAACGAAAACTATTAATTGATAATCGTAACGAACGTAGTCACGACGGCGCTTGGCATAATTTTGCAGCAAAAAGACGATAGCGACATAATTCTGATTGGGATAGTTAGCTTTTCACATGCACAATTCTTATTAACTTGAAATAGTATTTTGTTTACAATACATTTTCTTTTATTATTTATTACAATAATATTCCATTTTAAAACATAAATTTTCTCGATTTATTACGATCATTTTAAGTGCCAATCATACCTATTATCGAAGTAAGTGTATAATCAAACAAACAGAGTACTTGATATTTTCATTATTATATTAAAAATAATATGACATTTCTGGCTAGTTTGTTTTTCTTAAGCGCTTGCATATTTTATCTGTGTGGCGATGTAGGCAATTCTTTATTAACCCGACTTTTTATTAAAACGACTTAGGAATATATTATGAAAATTTAGACACTTTAATTTTTTCAAAAGATTCATAAAATCGCGATTTTCATGAGATTCGTTTACAAACTCAAAAATTATGTAATCATCCTAACAAGACATCTAATATATCAATTACCTGTCAAAATTACGACAGCATTCTCAAATTTAATTTCCTTGAGTTGGATAGACATTTCAATAATTTAATTCATTTAAAAGACAAAAGCAAAAGCGTGTAATTATAAATCTAATAGGAAAATTCTACTTTTGCATTCTAATGAAACTTTTTTCTTTATTATATGCATCTTTGATTTTGTTCAAACCTTATTTTGGAGCACCATTTTCTTCTGTCAAGCAAACTTCGTCTACTAAATCGTGAATACGTTTTTCTAGTTTTTTTTTATTTTATCTTCCATTCTATACAAAAATAATTACTTATAAACAAATAACTACATTCTATAAAAGATTAATCTCAGTTTACCTTTCTTCTTTGTTAAGTTCAGGCATAACGGTTAAATTTTTCGAAGATCATAACTCTCTGATGAATGTGACATATATCCGCACCCCTTATTGCAGTAGCTGGTCTTACAATAATATTTAGAATTTCTGTTTGATTTTCTTTTAGTTACATTTTATCCTGAATTTATAAATCATAATTTAATATAAACCAAAAAATAAAAACTTGAAACAATTTTTATTTTTCGATTAACTAAATGGTTCATAGTAAATCAATTACTTAGTATAGGTGATCAATAAATAAAAAGTTATGGCAGTTTTTAGTAAAAAAAACCCAGCACAGGGGGGTCGCGGCACAGTGGTGACGTGGTATAGATGGATCAAGTATAATGATATCTGACAGTGATTAAAATCACTATAAAAAAAAAACGCTTCGATGCAAATCTTTAGATACTGTTTAATTTTAAAAAATTGGTGGACTATTCCAAAAGCTACATTATCTGCTAGTTCATTATTAATATCCTAATTAAGATAAAGTATGTAGAATGAAAAAGGGATTATTAAAAAATATTATTTCTCATAAAAAAATAATGTTGATCCATACACTTTTCAA